GATGGAACATTCGGGCTTTTAACATTTGTATAAATCATCATAATGAGAGATATTGAAGTAAATAGACTAAGAGATCCAACAGAAGCTACTCTTTGGTGAATATGTAAATCATTGGACCTTAAGTAATTTGATTTCAGAGATTCAGATGATCTACTCCAGAAAATAATTTGCTTTAACAAGAGGTTGAAGATACGTAGGGATAACATTCCATGATTTATGTGGCTGATCATTCACTCCTTCAAATTATGTTTGCACAAAATAGATAGCTGCTTTAATACAGGAAAAAAGATGATGCAAACACCTTCCTGAAACAGAACTCCTTACAAATGACGGTTTACTCATTTTGTGAGTTTGTGTAAATTGACTGGAAAACATGCTAACTAAGATATTTGTACATGATTAATTTACATTTATCTTTGTTCAATAGTTTTTCAATTGAGTAGTTTTGCAAGTATCATTTTGCAATTTGGAGACGAAAGAAAAAATCTGATGAGTGTATCAAGAAGGATACCTGATCTTTGGGATCAGGCATAGAATCAATCTCAGTGTTGACAGTCAAGCCATGATACATATCATCAATATTTGCAGAACTGGTTTCTTGGTTAGCATCCCCATCTGTTGAGTCATTCAACTGTTCTGTTGATATTGACACCAATGGTTCAGTGTCACGCTTGAAATTGTATAGCTTTGATGCAAGACCGTTGGTGCTCCTCCATGCAAGAAGACCTTTTGCTCTGTTTTCCATTGAAGACAAAACAGATGGCCGGTGTTTATTTCTCAGATCTTGAAGCCTTGCTTCATCTACAGCTTGATATCCCATGCAAGCTGTTAAAACAAGCTGGCTGCTGTCAAAAGTGGAACCAGCTAAAGACTGTAAGAGAGTTACGGCGTCCCCAGCATCTTTCGTTGTCACAAGTGCAGGACCTGCAATCAGCAGTAGTGTTAAGTCTATAAGCAGTCACCTGAGATGAACTATAATGTATTCAGACTTCATATAAAGTTATATGGCTTTGTTGTTTCTGGATGAAAATAAGGTGGAGTGACCCCAGTACCATACAACTCCATAAGTGCAAGGGCTGTCCGGAAGAGCATCACACGATTTCCATCAAACAGAAGCACATCCCACACACGAAGAACTGAAATGTTCAAATAACACTAAACTGGTAAGTATATTACGGCATAAGCTAATAAGAGATTAGAAGTGTCAGTCTCTTACATCAAGTCCCTGTCAAACCATTTTAGAAAGAAAAGGACAAGAGATTTTTTGATGTGCATTTGATTCTATAACCAACATTTGATGCAAAATCCAAAAAGGCCACACATATGTTTTTCCATTGTTGGTATGCCGTGCTTGTAGCTTTGGTAGCAAAAGCATATTCAGTTAACATATATTATATTATGACAAGTAACTGAAAATGATGTTTGTTTCTGCCACTCACTTCACTTGCACTTGCCTTAGCATCACCTCCCATTCGTTCATCCCCTTTATTGTCAAAAGGTTATAACATATAGTTTTCCACAGAAAGATAATAGAAAATTTAAATTACAAGAATTCTGTGATTCAGGGAAAAACACTATCTGATGTATGGCAAGTGAACCATGGGGCCGCGTTTGAATGAGACATTACGTGGAATTTTAGTGAACTAACAACTTCATGTATTTAAAGCCCGTGGAGATCACTATGCAGATCTAACAATATCAACAACAAATTGATGCTAAAGATACCTTTGGTCCCATCATCGAGGAAACACATTAAATTAGCTAAGATAGGAGTTAAGAGAATGTATTTTGCGAACAATAATACTATCTTATTTTGAATATTTAACAGTAGACTGACCAGTTTCCCAGGGAAGCATGTTCATGTATATAGATAGGAACCATGGTCCAGCAACCCATGCAACTTGTACACCAAGGTAGTCCAAGTGATTTACTGCACACAAGAAAATTGTAACTCCTCAATTGTCAAACTTGGGCAGTCAATATGCCTGACAAAGTCATGTGATTTTATATATAAAGGGACATATAACAAACCTAACTTGGGGAATTTCTCTCTGACCAACTCCTCTAAAACAAGCTGATCCACCTAGAACCAAGATGCAGATCTTTTAATAACAAACAGACCGGCTTGGAGTTCTAAGTATCCAACAATCAGTATGCATAAAAGACAATAAAATGAAGAAAAAAAGTAATACCTGAGACTCGATCATTTCTTCAGAGAAGTAACCCTCAAAATAGTCATCCATAATGCCTGTCAATGCCCTGTGGACCCATAACACATTTATCACACTATTTAGTTCAACTATTCTACTACGTAATCAACTGAAGTGAGTTGAACGAATGCAGGTACTTGATGTTGTGCCGCAAAACCTACCAGAATGCGTTCTCCTCAGACATCAATAGAAGTAATAGACCAGCAAAGAAGTTCATTGCCTGCATTACTCATACGACTAATCTTAGCTGAGAGAGTCTTGGAACATGCAAGTGCGAATGTTCGAAAATAGTATTACTGTGCACAATAGAATCATAACCATGAAATGCCGAAGTTTTTTTTTCTGTATCCAAATTTGGTTTTACAGTTCCTATAACCCAGAAAAAATGTTTGGGGACATGGATTTATTGCACCTGAGCTTATGTGCTCCATTTACAACCGATCTACAATAAATGCCATTGTAATTCGTTATACACCACTGTCATAGTGGCATTTAGTTAATCATCCGAGTGTTGGCAGTGGTATTTTTCGTAAGTTCTTCTTTCTCTGCAGTGGCTTTTTGAATACAGGAAGTTGGCAATCGTATATATCTAATTGACCCTATCATCTACCGCCTTAGGTTGAGCCAATGTTATGGGATAGTACCAGGGTTAATATCACTTACAGGAAGCTTCAAGGGGAATATTTGAGTACTGGCAATCATTTTGTGTTTCCAAAAATTAATATTCAATTGAAATACATTTTAAAGGTGCAACAGACTGGTCTATGTGCAAGACCTTCCGAGAAGGTAATGAGATGCAGTGCAATGAAAGCTCAATATGAATCAGCATTAAGAGAAAGATGTACCTGGCAGTAACCGACTGATGGATTATGTCTAGCATAAGCTGTGAGCAAGCGTCTTAAAGCATTTCTGCCATCCTCGTCTAGAGCTGGATGGCCTGGAAATGTTCTAGGCAAATCCTAAAAGGGGCAATGAAAAAGAGGATGTCTTAGCACCACACTCTTAGAAACACAAAAATTTATCAACATAAGAGGGTATTGAAACCCAGTAGTGAAAGTTAGTATCGCCTATCTACCTTCTCTATTTGCCCTTTCCACTTTTCTGAAGAAAGATCTTGAGATGCTTTTGGTTTTCCGTCGCCACATTCCTTAGTCGGAGAATCGGAACCTTTGCTGTCTCCGCCTCCATCAACCACCCCAAGGAGACTCTCGTAGTACCCTTTCACTCGGCGAGCTCCAATACCAACAAAAGCTTGCCATAGCTGTCCTCACAAGCAAATGGACCATCAGTTTGATTGAACCAAAATTATCATTTTAACAGAAATGTAAATCTTACCTCTCCTCTCAGAGCCATTGGCAACCCACCACGAACTAAGCACTCCAATTCTTCTTTCCAAGGAAAATACCCTTCTTGACTTGCAGCTCTATTCGTTCCTGAATCCGCATTGGTGCTGTCAGCAACAGGCCCTTCGCTGGGATCAACCTTCTCTACATCATAGAACTCATCATCAGAGTCCTCTGAGGGCTTGATATCTTCAGTGTTCTCCTCGTCAGCAGAAGATTGCTTCTTCTTCTTCTTGACACGCAAGCTCATCAGCTCCCCAATGTGGCCCAGTGAAGGCCTGATTTCAGACCATATTTGGATCTTATGTGGTCTCTGCTGTTTGGCTGTCTTCTCATCAGGCAGGTCAGTCCTGCCAGCATCGCCTATAGCTCCTTCATCCTCAATGGACGGTGCAATCTTAGCATCTTCTCCAGATGATTCATCGTCTTCTGCCTGCCTATCCAGAAAGTTCTTCCATCTATCAGACCGCTCCTCTTCCTCCTCCTGCAAATGGAGCACCGCCACACATGCAACTCAGTAAGATCAAACAACATGGTGTAAAAATGGAGTCATCACTAGGGTGGCTTTTCTACCTGGTAGATGTTTGCATACTCTCTGTACCGTTGCAAGTGCTGTGGCCGCACAGCGAAACCATAGGCGTCCCTGTTCCAATCCCCGATGCATCAGAAACAGAAAAGGGGCAAATGCCACTAAAAAGCAAACCATCAAGTATTTCAACAATTAAAACAAATTCTATCAAAAAGCCTGGGAGCAATCCGCGTTCATGTGATCATGTCAGCGACTTGGTTAGCTAAAACTTGTGATGCCCACTAAAATTTGGGTCCTCTAACTGATCATGTCTAGCAACAGTCCGACATTTTCGCATCGCTCAAGTAGGCTTAGACGAAATGCAGAAAAAGTGGAGGCGTAGCTCCGACTGCAGTAGCGCAGTGCACTGTGTGTACATACAGAACCCAGATCCTTCGACAGGCAAAGCATCAAAAAAACACAGTTCAAACATTATATCTAGAGGAATTATCGCACCGCGTCAGCAACGCGGAGATCTAGCGGCAGCATTCCCCAAATTCCGGCCCCAATGTCCCGCAACGGATCGAGATCCCCGGGCGTAAAAAACAAATACCATAACTGCCCCGAGAAAAAAGGCCGAGTAAACAGCACGCATGCGGAAGTCTCGCGCGGCAGCAGGCGCATCGGAAACTCCGGCAGAAACATCCGAAGCAGCAGCGCAGAAGGACCACCCAGCACGGCGCCGAGATGCGCGCGCGCGCGCGGCAGCGGGAGCATGGCAGGAGCAGCAGAAGTCACGAACCGCTTGTGCTCGAGGGCGATGAAGGGAAGGCTCTTGGCCTTCATCTCCCGCCGCGGCGTCGGGCCGCCGCCGCCACCAACCCCTGGCCCTCTCGCTTTCTTAGCTCACCGGCGGCGAGGCGAGGCGAGGCGGAGCGTACGGGGAGCGGGCGCTGGGGAGTGAAGTGGAGCGCGATTCAGGTACGGGTGGTTGGGGGGCTCGGGGGCAGCAGCGGTGATCCGATCCGACTATACTACTGGAGTGCTAGCTACTCCTGCTACTGCTGGCTGCTGAGATTTGAGATTTGATCTGCGAGGGAGTGCGAGGCTGTGTGTGGAGCAGCGGCTTACTGGGGGTTGGGAAATCGGAGGAGGTTCGATTTTCCATTTGTTTCGGGGGTTTTCTTTCTGGGGGGTATACGACGCCGCATGGAGATTGGGGAGACGAGACCCCCGGCCGCGCGCGCGTGTCGTCGTGCGTTCTTCCCCTTCGTCTTTGGAGTTGGGCGGGCTCGGCGGCACCCAGATCCCGATTCTCCGTGTCCACGGGGCCTGTATGCGTCTCTGTGTGCTCTGAACTCTTGTTTGGGGTTTACGACTTACGCGGGTTGACGTGAGAGGGTAAACATTGCGTCAGTAGAGGAGTACGGAACATGCACTTGCGTACAGTATTTTAGATTGAGAAGAAAGAAAGAAAAGACATAGATGGTGAACTGTGCAGAGGAGGATATCTGTACGATGTTAGTAGTTTCTTGTGTACTTTGACCACCGACACCTCACACCTCTGTATATGGTAAACAGGTGTAGCTGGCGATCTCAGATTCTGAAGAAAATGTAATAAGCATAAGCACTTCTGACCTACTCACTCCGTTCGGAATTACTTGTCACGAAAATGGATGTATCTAGATGTATTTTAGTTCTAGATACATCCATTTTCAAGACAAGTAATTCCGAACGGAGGGAGTACTTGTATACGAGCCAAATTTCTCTACCTTCGTACGGAAAGCTTGTGTTCCAGACTGACAAAAAGAGATCAAGAGAACGATGGAGACTAAACTAAACCACAGAGCATCCGAGGGAGTTTATAGTGATGCAGGCGTGCCACCCGCATACCGAGGGAGAGTACGGTCCGGTCCCACGAGGGAGACATCTGCAGGGTGCATCACAGCCAACAGAAGCGCAGCTTTCTCCACCACCTCTGCGGCGGTCGAATTGTAGGATCGGCTGTCCTTGTAGATAGACCAGTGTTTCTCGCCTTACAACTCACAGCCCAACGATTTCCTTAGAGCAACTCCACCCCGGTGACCCAGACGGACACGGATTTTGTTCGTTTTTTATCTGTTTGGGTCATTCATCCGCCTAGCGGACATGTCGCGGACACGCGCGGATGGAGGATGCACCCAACGCGGGATAGAAATGCAGACACGCGCGGACGGAGCAACACCAGGCGAGCATCGCCGGCCTCCTCCATGGCTGAGCCGCCGCCGCCGCACGACGTGAGCTCCAGCCCCCCTCCCCCCTTGCTCTGTCGTCGCAGGACGCGAGGTCCAGCTGACGCCGCACGACGCGAGATCCAGTCGTCGTCGCAGGACACAAGCTCCAACCCACGCAGGTGACGGGATGACAACGTGCAGGAGGCGGCCTTCGCCGATGAGCGGCCTACGCCGGTGGCCTCACTAGTGAGCGCGGCGGCCGGCTGCACAAGTGGCCTCGCCGGTGGCCCCGCTACTTGTTGCGGCGGTCATGGAGTTGCCCAGCTCGTGCGCGGTCACTGCTACGGTGGGAAGTGAACGACGGGTTGTCTGCTTCTGTCCGGTCTATACCCATTTGTGGCCATATTTGAATCAAGTTTGGGTAGGGGCGGATAACAGACGAACGGTGGACATGCGTGTCCATTTGGGTCGTCCCGATAGGTCATGTTTTATGTCCGGATGACCCAAACGGATAAAATGAGTCGTTGGGCTGTAGTTGCTCTTACAAATACAGTAAAAGACTACGCCCCGAGCTTATTATCCGTTTCCAACTACTGCCCAACTTAGCTTTAAAAAAAAAAAACTACTGCCCAACTATCTTATCTTGCAGGAGTTTGTTTGTGCAACGATCCGTCTGTTACCTATGCGATCTTCCTTTTTCTTTTTTCTACTATGCGACTGGGATGCTGAAGAAAATATCCCTGCATACGTACCTGCTCCTCCCGTTCGTCCTTTTGTACATCAATTGCTCTGCTTAACCTTTCTCCCATGCCCCCGTCTGCGTAGGCGTAGTTCACGCACCAACTGCCCGCCTCACCCAAGCAGCGCGCTGGCTCGCATTCATCATGGAGCCTCCGCCATCTCCGTCTGATCACCAAATGTATCTGTCACCCGGTCCCATCACACTCCCTTTTAAACAGAGGCGACCTGTGGATCAACCGTGCCATGTGTGGAACTTGGCTCACGGTTCACGTCCCACTAGAAAATGATGCGAGGCGACCGACGAGGAGCACAAATAATTGAAGATGCTCAGGCGAGCGGGCAGGACTGCACTCACTGGCCGTCCAGCAGACAGGGGACAGGGGCCTGCCTGCGGCCGTCCTGACGACAAAGTGAGCACACTTAGGCATGCTTTGATCCGGCACCAGTTTATTTAGTGAAAAATCACAAAACTGGCCCTTTGACCAAAGTTCAGCAGAAAATGACCCTCTTTTGAAAATATTTCATAAAATGACCCTACATACATGACGTCCGCATCCGGGGCGACATGCTAGATATCATAACGCCTTGGTCAAGGGTGCTATATTGGTCAACGCTGACTTGCCACGTTGGCAGGGCTTGCCACCATGGCGCCCCAGGCCAGGGCGCCGTGCTGATGGTCATGACGCCCCTGCTCAGGGCGCCATGCCCCTTGCGTGAACAAAACAGAGTCTCCTCTGTTTTCCCCTCCACAAACCCTCACTTTTCTCCTTCTCCACCCCGGCCGCCCCACTCAAGCCCCTACCTAATGCCCAACAAAATTTCGTGGATCGGAGCTCTAAATCGGTGATTTATCCTTCCCTTCGACCCCTTAAGGTATTCTTCATCATTCCTCCTCTTTTTGTTGGTTGAAATCTCCACATTGTGGGGATTTGGGGAAACCCTAGGTCATCCAAATTTGCTATTTTTGTTGATGCATTTTGGTGTTTATGATTCTAGACGAGGATCGTCAATGTGCATCATGTGGACTATGTCTCCTTTGAGAAGGGAGATGCGGAGTATGGTGACCCGAAGAAGTCGGTAGTGATGGTGTTTCCCACAAGTCCTAGCCTTGAGGAGGTTTTGGTTGAGCTTCGAAGAAGGTTGAATTGGATGGAAGAAAGCGATGGAGTAGACTTAATCAGAAGGTATAATGTTGGGTATGGGCAACATATTTGTTGGAAGATAATGCCTCTTGACTCCGAGTTTTATTGGGAAGCATATAAAGAGAGTGTGTTGGCCTTACAAGATAAATCATTTGAGATATTTGCCACAAAGGTTGTTCGTGCTCGGCTGCACATTGATTTGAATCGGTGTGCATCTACCATGGGGTGCCATACATGGCGCACCGACTTAACCAGCATGACGCCCTGAACATTAGAGAGCAAAAAATTGGGTCCTTGGCCGTTTCTGCAGCTAACAGGCATGGCGCCTTGCCACAGGGCGTCATGTTGTCAACAGGCATGGCGCCCTGCCCCGGGGCGCCATGCTGTCAACTTATGCTGATGTTGCTGCTATCTATTTGCTGAGTACTGCTGCTGCTGTTGCTGGAGTTTTGTTGATGCTTCAAGAACATTAAGTGGAAGAGAACCATCACAAATGCATCAAGTTTCATACATAGTTCACCACAAATGCATCAAGTCTCATACATAGTTCAACACAAAGTTTCATACATAGTTCACCACAAATGCATCATTTCCTTCCTTTCCCCCTCTTAGCCGGTGCAGCATCCTTCCCCTTCACTAAGCGCCTTCTCCTCTGCAGTGGCACCTCCACCTCCTCATCCTCCACCTCCTCCTCCTCCTCTGAAGCGGCCTCGATCACCGGGGCCTTACGTGCCTTCCTGTCGTATTTGTGCGGAGTATACTTTCCACGCCTTTGACTAGGCTGGGGTGCATCGGGCATCTGCGAGGTGTTGGTCTCATCATGCGTCTGTTTGTCGCCCTCCCCCTCGCCATCAACCGAGTCGTCGAGTGGGTGTTCTGTGGCACTTGATGATGATCTCGACCTCGACGTAGAAGGCATGGCGACATCGATGGAGTGGCAGCCTAGTAGAGCACCCAAGCCACGTGCCCAAGACTTGCTCCGCTGTGAAATCAACATGCCAAAGTAAGGAGATAAACATTAACAAGTGTGTATGGAAATCAATTTACGAAGCGTCATACCTCAACAAAAGCTTCGAGAGCTCGGATTGCTGTTCAAAACGACAAAATAAATCATGTTCGATTCAATGTTTCTTATGGTTCCAACTAGAGGTAACGGTAACTTACCACAAAGCGGACAACGGGCGTCGATTCATACCGTCTACCATCTATTATAAGCTTGTTGTACTGCATGTTGGCCATCCGGTCGAACCCCGATTGGGTTCATGTAATATGTCATTTGGATCAAATGTCGGCGGGTTTATTTGAGTACGAGTAACGGAACGAGACCACACGAGATAGTGTTGGGGAACGTTGCAGAAAATTAAAATTTTCCTACGGTTTCACCAAGATCCATCTATGAGTTCATCTAAGCAACGAGTCATGGGAGAGAGATTGCATCTACATACCACTTGTAGATCGCGTGCGGAAGCGTTCAAGGGAACGGTGATGATGGAGTCGTACTCGCTGTGATTCAAATCACTGATGACCAAGTGCTGAACGGACAACACCTCCGCGTTCAACACACGTACGGTACAGACGACGTCTCCTCCTTCTTGATCCAGCAAGGAGGAAGGAGAGGTTGAGGAAGAAGGCTCCAGCAGCAGCACGACGGCGTGATGATGGTGGAGAGGCAGTACTCCGACAGGGCTTCGCCAAGCGCTCAACGGAGGAGGAGAGGTGTTGGGGAGGGGAGGGGCTGCGCCTTTGATCAGGTGTTCAGCCCTCCCCTCACCCCTCTATTTATAGGGGAAGGGGGAAGGGGGCCGGCCCCCTCTAGATGAGATCTAGAGGGGGGGCGGCGGCCAGGGAGGGGGCTTGCCCCCCAAGCAAAGGAGGTGCGCCCCCCTTAGGGTTCCCCCCCCCCCAACCCTAGGCGCATGGGCCCAAGGGGGGGCGCCCAGCCCTCCAGGGGCTGGTTCCCTGCCCCATGCGGCCCATGAGGCCCTCCGAGAGGGGTAGCCCCTCCCGGTGGACCCCCGGAACCCTTCCGGTGGCCCCGGTACAATATCGATATGCCCCCGAAACTTTCTGGTGTCCGCATGACAACTTCCCATATATAAATCTTTACCTCCGGAC